ACCCCTAATCCCAACTTGGGCCAAGAGCCAGGCTTTCCTGCCTTTCAGGGCTCTGAGGGGCAGACGAAGGGCCCTTCTTCGCTTCTCTCCCAAAGTGGGTTTCGGGTACTTGGAGGATCATGGGACTTAGTAAAAGTATAACTACTTATAAGTATAGTTACCTTATTTATAACCCTAGTTACTAAGTCCCATGATCCTCTAAGTAAGCCTCCAGCTCAAACAGTGCAAAAATCGTCTAAGGGTCCAAGAGGACCCAATAATAAGGTACTTTGGTTATGGATAGTATAGTTATCTAGGTTAAGATTTGGGAGAGTATATGATTGTTCGGTACTTGGACCCCTAGCGGTAGGTGCTGACCCATTACTTAGAGGGTATAACCGGTACAACCTTTGAAGAGTAGGTGCTTGGGATCAGGCAAGCCCCTGAAGAAGACTCTCTTGTGTTTGCGCCCGGTCTCGCTGCAACTGTTGTAGACTTGACCTGTGACTGCTTATGCATCACGTCTCCCTAGAGAAATGCTCGCTAAACCCTGTAGAAAGAAAGCCTATCAACTCTCAATACTGAAGAAACCCTGTAGTGCCGTCCCCGAACCAGCGCCCCCCGATATCAAGCCTCGCACGCCTGCAGAATCGCTTTCAATGCCATGGCTCTGGTTCCGGAGGCAGCCGAGAAATCTTGAGGGTTAACGAGAATACAGGGCTTGTATATGGGTTTTATACGGATGTGCAGGGTTTCAGTTTTGGGCAAACCGGGGCTGTGTTGTTCTTTGTCTGAAGGTCCCATCGGCATCAGTTGCAAGTTGTGTCACGGTGAGTCGCTGCTAGACTTGTTCGGCAAATGTTGAGCCGTTTCAGCCGTCACAGTATCTTCTTGCGCATAGGAAAAATCCTTATACGGGGCTAGGCTGGGTATCAAAATCCCCTAATAATTAGTCTCTGCAGTCCCTGTATCCCAAAAACCCACTGTGTCAGGCCACTATATTATGGCTGTCATGGCCAGCATGGCTAGTATGGCTATTATGGCTATTGCTTGGGCCTGCCGTGGTGTGCTCGGGTTGACAAGGGAGGGCCTGCGGCAGGATGGGCGGTGGACGTTGCTCGCAAAATTGCCCACTTTGAGCATCTTTTGGCATGCTTGGGCGCCTGTCACGCTGTGACGCAGCCTGTGTTCCTTTTGTGTTCGCTTTGCTGAGGGAGCTGCGTGCGCGGCTGCCTGCACCGTACGTACAGCTTCTTCTTTCCGCTGCTTCCACAAGTGATGTAGCGGATGTTTTATTCATCGCTATTTCACGCTAATTACCTTGAATGTGGCCATTGTTTGTTTCTCTGGTTATTATGGCCACTACGTCCCTATACCCTAAACCCCCTAACCCTAAAGCCCTGAACCCTAAACCCTGAACCCAAAACCCTAAACCCCTGAACCCTAAACCCTAAACTTCCAAACCCTTAACCCCTAAACCCATAAGCCCCGAACCCCTAAACCCTGAACCCAAGATCCCTGGACTGGCAGGGGCCCCTCCGATCCGGCACGCGCTGGCGAGAGAAAGGCACAGCCTGCGAGCGTTAAGCGCTTCAGGGTTTAGGGTTTAAGGGTTGAGGGTTTTGGGTCTAGGGCTTCAGGGTTTAAGGGTTGAGGGTTTCGGGCTTCAGGGTTATAGGGTTGAGGGTTTAGGGCTGCAGGGTCTAAGGGTTGAGGGTTTAGGGCTTAAGGGTTTAGGGTTCAGTGCGTACTGACACTTACTTAATCATGCACACAAGTATGTACTAGGGTTGCTACAAGGCTTTCAGGGTCTAGGGTTATTGGAGGACTTTTGTGAATGTGATTATTGTGTCTTTTGTTTAAGGATGCAGGCGCTGATCGTGCAGGATTGTGTTGGCTTTGCCTAAGGACGTAAAGAGCACTAGATGGCTTCAAGGTTCATAATATACCATATAGGCATGCAGAGTATACCATATAGGGATTCATGATATAATAAGCGTAGAGGTCCCCAGTGTGATTTAGTCCCCAAGCTTTGGCTTTGGGCCATGGCCCAGCTTCACTCTCCGTCAATAGTCTCCACTAGTTGCTTTCTTTGGTTTAACCGACTTCTCATTTCGGATGCTAAAAGATAATGAAGACAACAGGCAGTCTGGGTGTGGCGAGCGCTGATGTCAATAGTCGTGTAATTGACTGTGTGCGACCAGCCTTGGCACAAGTTTCGTATGTGCAAGATGACGGAGCGTGAGTGTGCCTCTTGCCGCTTGCGGAGAGGAGACAGACGGAGAGACAGCGAGAGAGGGAGAGAGACAGAGATTTAGTCGGAGACACAAGAAATAATGAAGGGCGACTTTCACTTGGCAGCACGATCTACAGAGTCAAGGATCAATAGATCACTGTGAGGTTGTTTTCGAGTTTCATGTCGCAGGAATCGCGCTCTACCCTTCCGGGGCCATGGCGAATCACTCGTGCGATCCTTCGTGCCTTGCCTGATCTGTGGGACACGACAGCCTCAGCCGGTTGCTGGGCAGGGAGCAGAGAAGTGGAAGTAAGTACCGGTGGTCTTGCCGGAGTCTTCAGTTCTGCCCGCGCACAACTACACAATTGCCTGTATCAGGTATCTTTGGAGCTCGGATTCATCATGTTTGCATGAAGGCATGGCTGGCCTGGAGGTGAGAAGATGGTGTCGAACCGAAAGACAGCAGAATCTGATTCACACATAGCTTGCACACGGCCGCACGCCAGGGACTCGATGGACTAGCTGTTGCGACTCACAATCATTCAATTGTTCGTGTGCACATTTCCCAATGTGGCAACTTCCTCAAGGTGCCACCTTGAAAGAATCAACGCCATGAGTCTCGGGATACTTACCCAAACCATAAGAGTCATTCCTATTACAGAAAGCCTTGTTTCTGCTAGTATAGGTGCGTAGGACCCTTGGACAAATCCCTAAGCGCAACACCCTAAACCCTAAACCCTAAACCCTAAACCCTTCCCTAAACCCTAAACCCCTTGACTTAGGTGTCTTTGGTTCGTCCGTGATGGCGTCCTCGTTCTCGAGGCGCAGCGCAGCGTACGACGCGGCGGCGTTCCGTGGCTGAAAGGTTTTCGGCCTCAACCCTAAACCCCTGAGCCCCTAAACCCTAAGCCCCTGAACCCTAAACCCCTGAACCCCTGAACCCCTAAACCCCTAAACCCTAAACCCCTGAACCCCTAAACCCTGAACCCCTAAACCCTAAACCCGAAGTTTAGGGCTTGTAGTGCACATGGCTTCAAAGCTGCCGAGGGTCCGAGTACCCAACGAGTAGGTTTTTGAGAGTATGGGTTTAGGGTTTAGGGAGTGCTTGGGACCCAAGCCCAAATAATACAGATCTCGAAGCGACTGGCAGCAAGTTGGGGCAAACGTTTCAGCTTCCGACTCCGCACAAACAAGGCACGTGATGGCACGTGCCTTGTTTGCCAGACTGTTTGAAGGAACTCACAATCGCGTACTTGTCCATCGCTGGCAACCGAGAGGCACCGGCATTTTGGCTGTTCCGTGTTCAGTCTGCCAACATCCCGACTCGCATTCAGCTTGTGGAGCGTAGAACCGAGTGCACCGTTGACGGCAGCATCCTGTTCCAGAGTCCTTGCAAGCACATCCTGAATCCGAGAAGTGTGTCCGGGCAGGCACGCCAGCAGCGCCTTCGAAAGGCAGCGATCCGTGGGCTCACACTCAAGCGGCCAAGGACGTAGAGTAGCAAAGAGTTCATGGAGACCTCTGTGCGCAGAGACACTCCCAAAGTAGCGATCCACGAAGTGCTCCGGTGAGTCTTGTACTCCGGAATCGCTGGAAAGCCCGCAAGTGCCCCTTACCTAATATAGGGGCCTAAATAACTACCAATACTGTTTTGGGAGTTCCTTATTATATTTATAGCACAACAGGCCCCAAAACCCTGTTCCAATTATTAAGGCCCTAGATTACCCAAGAGTGTTTCACCCTCCGCGATCACTCCAATTAGGGTCACGCTTTAGATCCCCAGAATAGTACGGCACCCTGCCCATATGAACCCATACAGAAGCCCTAAGAGAAACCCTTCTGGGAACCGTTGCAGAACCCTCATAAGAACCCGTTCAGACACCTTCACAGGAACACTAGAAAAACCCTTTTAGGCACCCTTACAGGAACTCTTTGAGAAACCGATAGAAGCTCTTATAGGAAGCCTTATAGTAGCACTTCAAGTAACCCTTCTGGCAAGCCCTTGTGGTATTCTAGGAACCCTTACAGGAAGATCTGATATCCTAGCAGACCTATCGAGACCTATCAGTTTTAGCACCAATTACTATTACGACAATACTATGACTATTTCCATCACAAGTACTACTACTACTACTACTACTACTACTACTACTACTACTACTACTACTACTACTACTTGTCGTATTGCTACTGTTACTTCTATTGCTACCTAGAGTCTCCATTGTACTTCCTTTTTGGGTTACACTGGGGCAAATACCAAAAAGCCCTAAACCCAACCCCAAACAAGAACTAAGATGGAGACTGTGGGTACTATTGACCTGCAGGCCTTTGGCTTCCACTGCGCTTGCTCCAAGTGCGGCTCCGAAGAAAGCTGCAAAAAACGAGAGCTCCGAAGTGGGTTTCGGGTGTTCAGAGCTCATGATTTTGGGTTAAAAGTGTGTTCGCTGTAGGGCTCAGGGCTTAAGTTTGGGATTTAGGCTTTAGGACAATTTAGGTGTAGGGCTCAGGGCTGGGAGGTGCTCTGCGCCTGTGTACAGCTTGAGCCCTTTAAGTCTTAAGCTAAACGCCAAAGCAGGGGCTCCCAGAAGGTCTTCAGAGATCTTGACTGCAACAGATCGGGTCCCGTCACATATACTACTCACATACTACTAGTCTTAACTTAATACAATATACCACGAATAGGTACAATGCAAGCATAATGGGAATCTAGTCACTATGACGGGTCAGTGCGGCTTCATCTCAACTTGCGTACATCTGCATGACGACGCAGTGCCAACATCGACAGGCCGTGCAGCCTGACGGCGCTGCAGCAGAGGCCGGCCACAGGTGAACCCTTTTGCAGAGACCCCTCCTGGCTCTTGTAAACCTTCCTGGCAACAGTTATAAAACATACTATACGATCACATGTTGTATTAGAATATACTACGTATAGTATACTTCAGTATCATATGATAAGGGGTTTTGAAGTTGATATGTATCTTGGTGTTTGAGATGCAAGGTCCTCCAATGGAAGCGCTTGGCCTCGAAACGCGAGCAGCAGCTTCAAAGGGAGGACGGCTCTGTTAGAGCTTGTGCTCTTGTGGGCTTAGGGTTTAGGGTTTAGGGAACATGTGAGCAGTGCAGTGCGTAGGCTCGGCTTGTCTGTGACACGGTGCAATGGGGTTCATCCAATGTAATCCTCCGGGTTCATTGAGTCCACTCAGCCTACGTTCGGTGTGTTTTCCATGGAGTCTACAGTTGTCTGGATGGTAGCTGCTTCGTTGAAGTTTCAGCAAGCCTGGGCTTGGCCAAAATCCCCATCACCGACATCATTCTGGACTCATGAGCGGGACAGGTGCAGTCTTGCACATGCCGCTGCTTTTTGTTGGAAGGGGAGTGGGATGGTCGATGATAGATCCAAGTGACCGAGTTGTAGCCTCACTTCAGCTCTATGTCCGGAGCTCACACCCATCTTGATCAGAGAGCATCAGAGTTGCAGGAGCGTGAAGAGCAGACAGGAAAGATTACGCAGGCATGGGTCTTTAGTCCAGCCGGCGGGTGCAACCCTAAACCTCAATAACTAAACCATTTAAGACCTGCCAGAGAGAGACGTGTTCAGGCCCATGTTCGTGGAGTGCACTGGCCATCACTATTCGCCGGTTCCATGCCGTTTTTGTGCAGCATTTTGAGACTTGCAGGTAACATCCCAAGGGACAAGGGGAGCAGTTGGCATGAGTTGGCGCAACTTCTGAAAAAAACACTATTATAGGGGCCTTAATAATTAGAATAGGGTTTTGGGGGATCCTCATTATAATTACAGTAGAATATGCCCCAAAACCCTACTATGATTATTAAGGCCCCTACCCATCCCTCAGAAGCTCGAAATCGATGAGCACAGCATGCATAGCAAAGGGAAGTCTGGCGAAGCATGGCCAAGGAAAAGCTCCAACCATGAACTAAGGGGCCTGAATCAGTAGAATAGGGGTTTGGGGCTTCTTTATAGTATACATATAATTTCGGGACCCTAGGCAATATTATTGGTAATTGTTTAGGCCTCTAGATTACCTAGACCTGAAAAACTCACTTGTTTAAGGATCTATATTCGGAAATCATAACAAGAATCCCTGAAAAGGTAGGCTGTTTGGGTTAAGCTATGACCTGCACATGCATTTGGGTACGGCACCATTATAAAAAAAAAAGGACCCTAAAAGGGACCCTAGTTTAGAGAACTCCCCACATGATGCCCAAACCTTTCTCCACTTATCAATTCGCACCCCTACACCATATATATATATATATGTATGTAAAATATATTACACAGTTTCTCCCCAAGCTTTACTCGGTCCCGTTGGGAACCCTATATAATCATACCGTGAATACGGCACCCTGTAGCTCGGGAACCCAGAAAAATCCTACTTTGGACACCCACCCCAATATGGGGGTTTCCTTAAATAGGGGACCCTAATATAGTACCCTAAATAGTAGGATCCTTATGATAAGGACCCCAAAATAAGGTACCCCTAATTTTCGGAAACTCCCATATGAGCCTGCCGCCGAGTGCGTCTGCACCAGGTTGAGTATTCCAATGCAGATGCTCTCGAGGGCTTCCAGAGCAATCGAAGGACTGCATCCGGGGTTTAAGGGTGTCGGTGCTTAGGATTGCTTCAGCGGCTTTTAGGACTCAAGGGGTTAAGGGTTGAAGGTTTTTTGTGTTTTAGGGTCATCTCATACCAATTGTCTTGGCATTTGGATTATCAGGATTCAGTGACAAGGGTTTAGGGTCGTCGAAGCTGCAGCCGAATGTCCAGCAGCCACCTCTCCTGTCGATGCATCCTCTGCAGGACTCGGCAAGCGCTGATGCGCGACCACTATGGCAGCTTTCGGTTGGGAGGCAGGTGCATGGTATCAGGAACCAAAGAGCACCCAAACTTAGGCTTTTTGATTGGGTATCCTCATCTTACTGGCTTACTTAATTAAAGAGGGGATGATGGGATATTCCAGCCGTGTTATGTAGATGCTTTTCGTTGGGTCCCTATGTAGTTTCAGGAAATACGGAACTCCCTTTATAATGTAGACCCTGGACAAACTACTAGATGGTACCTCTGCAGGGTCTCTAAGGCTCTAAGGTGTAGGTCACACGTGTCGGGTTTTTGCAGGGGTTCGGTAGGGGCTCTAGAAGAGTTCTACAAACGGGATCTTGTTGGAACAGCCATCTGTGTGGACTCACAAGGTGTAGCAGACGCCTCCTAGCGTTTGCTTCCCTTCGCGGAGCTCTGACGGAGCCATGCGCTTAGCGGCTTAGCTTCTTCCTTGTTAGTTAATTATGTGTCGGGTCATATAAAGGAAAAATAGGGCAGCACTGTGCAGCACTGCAGGAAATACAGCTTCCTGCAGAAGCCGTCTCACCATGCATCGAACCCCGTGCTTCCATGGAACGCAGGCATTTGCTCTGTGTAGGCGCTATCAAAACGATGGCACTTCCGAGCATGCTCTCATCGTTGCACTTAAGTGGTGGCCTCAGAAAATTATGGGATAGATGGCAAGCATAAATTTCTCGTATCGGTTGATACAAAACGTACAATAAAGCGAGTCCTACGCTGCTTGGGGTCGATACTTCGGGTTTCCTGTTTTCTGAAGCCTTTCACGTGACCGCCAAAGTTAATCCAAAGCACAGCGGCCGAGACCTGTCGCGCAAAATCTGTCCAAGGGATGCCCAAATCCGGAACCCTATGCCCGTCCCTTCCTACAGGCTCCCTTTTATTGGTTTATGTTGAGGATCCCTAGAGGTAATCCCAAAAAGGAGCTACAATGGAGATTATCGGTTTGGCAGTCCAAATGCTCAGTCATCATGGCTTTCTGCTGCGAATTACCACAGATACCATGGGAACCTGTCCAGGTCCTCGCGGAAGGCTTGGGATGCCCCTGAACGCTATAGAGCCTTAATGTAGGGGCCTCAATAATTACCAATACTATTTTGGGGGCTCCTTATTATTGCTATGGTACAATGGGCCCCGAAACCCTCTTCTAATTATCAAGGCCCCTATATTAACCCCAAACCCTAAACCCTTAAACCCTAATTAAGTCCTCCCTAAGCTGCCGCCCTCGAAGGAACCGTCTTAAAACCAGGGGCTTCAAGTTAACATGACGACTGCGAATGACGTTCCCTTTCAGTCATGCCTATGGTCTCCATTGTAGTTCCTTTTTGGTGCTACCTTCTGAGATCCTAATTATAAAGCTGGTTAAACCAGAACAAGCAACTGCAATGGAGACTATAGGTACTCTTGCACTGGACCACCACAAACCCTGTTCGTATTCGTAAAGCCTTTGTACTATGTCTTCCAGAACCTATAGGCCTAGGCCGTGAGTTGCCTGAACCTGCGTTTCCTGAGAATTACCTATACCCACCGGGACCAAGGTACCGTTAAAAGAGTACATGTACCAATTGTTTTAGGGTCGTACCCGTTCGTTGACCGTGCATTGGTTACTCTACGTACTACTCCTAGGGGCTCCTGAATATTAATCCAAGACCCCGCCTGGTAACCCTCAATCAAGGCAAGATGGTCCCAAACAGTAGGTATGAGGGGTGGAGTAGAGGGTAGTTGGAGGGTCTATTATCTAACGGCTTTCTACCCCCCTACACAAAACACACACACACACACACATTATACGACGTCGCCATATTAACACCCTGCGTTGTGGCTTCCTGTTAAACTTCTATATCTCGGAAGAATAAGGTAGAGTTGGCCGGTCCGGATTTGCGAGCATCGACTGCTTCTGCAGACGTCCACTGCCTTTGTGGGGACGACTGCGTCATTTGCAGGATATCAGACACCCTGGTGCCCTCATGCTTTCTCGATCAAGCTTGACATCATCGTTGGTTCGTCCTTGGACGGTCTTGTTGATTCCTAACATCTCACACACAAGTGCCTCCCGCAATTCCAAGCGGCTGCGTCCTTTGCTTAGTTGCCTAATCACATCCGACAGCAAGCCGGTGACTTCGGGTAGCTGCTGGATGGAGAAATGCCGTCCTGCCTGCCTGGCATCGCCGGCGAAGAGGCCGAGTTGTTGTCGCAACCTGCTGGCTTGCTGACTGCATAGTGGTTGGGCTTGACTCAAGTCTGTAAGTCAGCTGCAACGTTTCGGGTTCAGGCCTTGATTCAGACACAGTACTAAGTGCTCGAGCAAGACGCGTGCTTGAGCAGTGGATGCCACTGAGTGTGCCTGCGTGTTTGGTGGGCTTGTGTCTACCCTAAACCCTAAAAAACCTAAACGGTCCAGGAGCTGAAAAGACTACAAGAAGAAGTTCTTGAAGGCTGGGGCTGCCAATGGATTTTTGGAGCTTCAAGTGCCCCCTCAAAATAGCTTGGACAGGAAGAACCTCTTTAGGGAAACCCTAGGCCCTAAACCCTATATCCCTGGACCCTAGCCCTGAAGCCCCAGACCAGAAAATCCGAAATCCCGAAACTCCTAAAGCCTGAAAAAGCCTGAAGAACCCTGAAGCCCTAACGCTTCGAGGCCTCGTGGCAGATTCCGAGGACGACGTCGACGCTCAGGGCGAAGACGAAGTCCCCGAGGTCGCGGAAGGCGAGGAAGGTGAAGCCGCAGCCCCAGCGGTTTTAGGGTTTGTGGGGTTTAGGCGTTTCTGGGATTAGTGATTAGGGGGTTTAGGGATCGAGGGCTCCGTCACGGGTTCTCCTTTGAGGGGTTTCTTTAAGGCTTAAGGAGTTCTATGAGGGTTCTTGCAGATCTTCAACACGGGTGGTTTTACAAGGAGTTTGTCAAACGCAGCTTTTCCATATTTGGGTGCAAGACGCTCACTCGACTGATGGGTCGATTGCATGATGGATAGGTGTGTGCTTCGCTTTGCCTACTCTAGCGGGGTCTGAGTCAAAAGTAGTCTGCTATAGTCCTTTCACCTGCTGCATAACCGTAACCAAACTCCGATCCTAATTCGTCCTGGTATTCAAAAAGAGAGCGGCCGAGAAGTGCGTCCGGCCTTTCGGGAGCACTCAGGAGCCGCCGATCCGAGATGAATTGGCGCAAGGCCTTGCAGCGATCGAGGTGCGGCTCTGATGTTTGAGGGTTTGTGGTTTATAGGGTTTCGCGTTTGATGTTTGAGATCCGCCGATTGCATGGAGGTTGGGAAAATCTGAGCAATCAACTGGCTTGTGGGTTCCATGTCTTATTTTACGCTTTTAATACTCTTATAGTACCCTAATAGTACCGGTTCCTCTCTCCATAGTGACAGCTGCATCTTCGTTGTGCTCATCTTGCGCATGCGTTCGGGAGAAAGATGTGCATTGAGGTTTAGGGATTTAGGGATGTCGGGTTAAGATGTGCCTTGGGTTGCAAATCTCACTATACATTCATACATTCGAAGTTCCGAGCCTCTGACAGGACCCAAAACCCTAAACCCTTATATAAACCCTTAAAGAACCCTTTGAGGAACCCAACCCTAAACCCTTATAGTAGCCCTGATAGATCCCTTTAAGGAACCCCTTAAAGGAACCCTTTAAGGATCCCTTTAAGGAACCCCCAACAGCCAGGACCTCATCGCCGGGCGGGCCGCCCCCGTGCAGGCCCCAAGCCGGCCAGCTACAGGAGGCACGAAGTTTAGGGCTTTGGGGTTTCAGGGTTTTAGGGGTTTTAGGGTTTCAGGGTTTTAGGGCTTTAGGGGTTTTAGGGTTTCAGGGTTTTGGGGTTTTTGCGTTTAGGGCTTCAAGGTTTTAGGGGTTTTAGGGGTTGTAGGGTTTAGGGTTTACGGTTTAGGAGCCTCGGTTCTTTCAGAAGGGTTCCTCTAATGGCTCCTTTAAAAGGCTCCTTCAAAGGGATCCTTTAAGCTCCTTTAGGGGTTCCTTTCTTTAAGGGTTCCTATCAGGGGAGGCTCGGAGGGCGAAGGCAAGAAATGCTCATGGCTTCCAGAGGCCAGGTTTCACCACCAGGACCTTGCCAAAGCCACCAAATCCAAAGCCCTAAACCGTAAACCCTCAACGCTAAACCGGGTTTAGGGTTTAGGGCCCAAATCGAAAGACCCTGAACCCTAAATCCCTTGAACACTCCTATGTAAATATATATATATATATATATATATATATTAAAACCCTAATTACTTCGCGATGTTTCCCGTTCCCGTGGCTCTATCGGTTTGTTCGCAAGTCGTTGCTTTAAACGGTTGTTTTCGCAAATGGCGGCTGCTAAGCGGTTTTTTTGCAAAATTTCGCGTGGCTTGAATTTCGCGTTTAGGGTTTCGGCTTTAATTTTGCGTATATAGGGTTTCGGCCTAAATTTCACGTATATGGCTTCGGCCTAAGTTTCGTGTAGAGTGTTTCGCCTTAAATTTCGCGAAAAGGGTTTCGTCTAAATTTCGCGTATGGGGTTTCGGCCTAAATTTCGCGTATAAGGTTTCGGCTTATCGCCTGTAGGATTTCGGCCTAAATTTCGCGTATAGGTTTCGGCCTGAATGTTTAAAGCGATTTTGTTCGCAATTTGTGGCTGCCTTGGAGCAGGCAGCGGGGCATCGCAGTGGTTGAGATCTAGGTAATTGTGCTTGTGGTGTAATTTCTGTTTATGTCATGTGCTGCTGCTCATAAAGCTATTACGTGTTACTATCATTCTAGGGCTTAAGTCCTGAGAATCAAGGACGTGTGTGACCAAGTTTTGCTTGGTCGCAAACCAGCTGTTATTTTTTTACAGAATTCTCGTAGTTGTGTTGTGTTGCTAAAATAAAGCTAACAAGACCTTTTTTAAGGTTTGTCTGTAAGGAAAAGTTGACACGAACTGTAGAATTAACATAAAAGTTCCTATGTTCTAATGTTATGGGTTTCTTTGGGTGGGAGGGTATTCCTCTTCTACAAAACGAGCTGGACGAGAGACCTGCTGAACCCTGAACCTAAACCCTCAACCCTAAAGCCAAGACAGCCCGATAATGCGCCCAAGACACTCGCAGGCCCGTCCATCTTGTCGGAGCCTGCCGTCCTTGTGGCTTCAGGCACATATCCTTCTTTAAGGGCTCCTTTAAGGGATCTTTACGGGTTCTTTTCAGGGTACCATAAGGGTTCCCTCTGGCTCCTTTAAGGGTTCTAGCGGTTCGATAACTCGCCTAGGACCCTTCGTCGTGTGGTGCTTTCGGATTTTGGGCTCTCAACTTTGCCTTGTCTGGAACTAGAGTTTTTGAGGTTTTGCCTGTGTCTGCTTTCGGGTCTGAGGTTGCGGGTTCAGGGTAAGGGGTTTAGGGGATGAGTCTCAGGTGAACTGGTCCAGCTCTTCATCAGGAGTCCTGCCTTTTCCAGCGACAACCACGATGGTGTTGCGGGCTAGGAGCATCGAGGGTTACCTTTGAGCTCTGTTTTGCCAGGGCCCCGTATGCTAGAAGGGTCGGAATGATTGTTACGGGTTTCACAAATCACCTTAAATATTTGCAGTATCCCCTTTTGTTACAATTCTTGTGCAGTATGCCAGGCGAGGATGCAGCCCGGATCCCAAGAACCAACGGAGTTTGACATGAGGGGCAAGGCGTTGATGAAGCGCATCCTGCTTGGCTTTAGGGTTTAGGGCTGAAAAGGATTTAGGATGAAGTGTCGGGCAAGAATGCCTGTGAGTAACCCTGAATCCTAAACCCCTTAACCCTAAACTTGTTGGAGGCATTTGGCAGGGAGGTGAACTCCCCTACCCGGCAGGTGCACCTGTGACTACCCGAGGTCCCCTCTTCGTGTTTCTGCATGTCCAGCCCGATTTCCGCTGCCCAACCTCCATGTCCCTAACAGGCTCCGTAAGGGACGCGAGGGCCAGCACCAACCGTGGCAACTACGCAGCAGCAGATGGAAGTGTCAGGAAAAAGGGGGCCGCCAAAACACAAACAACAAGTTCGAAAAGGGATCCCGCATTCACAGAAAGCCCCCAGATGCCCTCCGTTAAACCCTGCACCCTTAACCCTAGTCCCTAAAACCCTAACACCCTAAAACCCTAAAACCCTAAAAGCCCTCAAAACAGAACCCTAAACCCTAAACCCCAAAAACCCTCAAAGGAGGACCTAAGCCTGAAGCCCTGAGGTCGAAGACGTTCGCCACCTCGTCTTCCGCTATCAGCGGCTCCGAAGCCTGGACTTGCCAGGCTCGGAGCTTCGGAGGAAAACCCAAAGAGTTCAGAAAGGGCTCGAATTATCTAAGCCTTTAGGGCTTGGGGTTTATAGGGCTTATAGGGTTTATAGGGTTTGGGATTTAGGGTTTATAGGGTTTATAGGGTTTGGGATTAAGGGCTCAGAAAGGGCTCGGGGCATCTACGCCTGAAGGGTTTAGGGTTTATGTAGGGTATGGGGTTTAGGGTTTATAGGGTTTAGGGTTTATAGGGTTTGTGGTTTAGGGGGTAATGCAGGGGCCTCAAGAATTACCAATATTGTTTTGGGGGGTTCCTTGTTAGAATTATAGTGCAATGGGCCCCAAAACCCTATTCTAATCATTAAGGCCCCTTTATTATCTGGTGGGTTTGGGATTTAGGTATTTCGGGGTTTAGGAGTTTATAGGTTTCACGTGGAGTTTGGGTTTAGAGATTAGATAGGTTTTGTTCGGGTGCAGTGTTGAAACAGGATTTGGGCCTGAGGATGTGACAAGGATCCGGGACAATCCTTGTGCAGATGCCATACAAACTCCCCTTTGGAAAGCTTACAAACGACCCTGCCCTAAACCCTATAACCCTGGACAAATCATACAAGAAGCCTCTTGGCAACACTAGGCCTAGGAGCACCAACCCTTCACACGGGCTCCTTGCACTTCCACCCAGGTCCTCCAAAATCCCTTCATTAGGGATCCTGTTACATAAAAAAGTTTAGGATATATTCCTGAGTTAAGCGATGTTGAATCTGGGTAAAGAACCCCTAAACCCTAAACCCTAAACCCTAAACCCTAAACCCTAAACCCTAAACCCTAAACCCCTAACCTGGAACCGAGGGATGCTTGGATCTGGGCAGGCACCGTGGACTTCGTGCGCCTGTCGGGCCTGGAGGCGAGGGTTGCGGTTTGCCCGGGGTTTTAGGAAGTTAGGGTTGAGGAGCTTGGGGTTTAGGGTTTACTTGGAGGCCCCAGGGAACTCAGTAAGTAGGTTATAGGGCCCTGAATGGGGTCTTGGGGTTTAGGGATTAGTGTAGGGCTTGGGGGTATCGGTATTATAGGGGTTAGTTAGGGTTTAGGGTTTAGGGTTTAAGGCTCAGGGTTTAAAGGGTTTAGGGTAGGCTTCGAAGGGGATCCTAAACCCCAAATTGTACCGGGGGTCTGCGTTTCGGGCTTGACAGAGGGTTCGGCTGAGTTTGGGGCCTTTCACTGCTTTGCAGGCCGCACAAGGGGCACTACATAGAGGGGTCGCGAGAAGGGGTACTCTTCTGGGTTCTGCTGTAATGGCAAGCTGGAGGGTGTAAAGTGAGGGATTTGGATTTAGAGGTTCGGGGGTTTGAGGGTTTCGGTGTTTAAGGGGTTGCGGGTTGAGGCATTGAAGCTATTTCGGCAAGTCCTGCTCAACTGTTGCCTCGTATTCTGGGATTCTGGGACAGTGGCAAAATCCGGCTCACCGCCAAAATAGGCGACATCCTGGGTCACATATCATAGTAAACAATGCCCCCAAATGCTGGAATCCGGATTCTGACTATAATAATGAAGACGACCCCCCTTCTCCACCAGAAAAGCCATCCAATCTAGGCCGGAACAAGCAACAACACTATTCCGAAGGCTTTCTTGTTAAGTTTTTTTTGTTAAGTACATTAAATACCCCAAGCCTTTACTCCAATTCTTCAGGGCACCTGCATGAAGCACTCAAGGCCCGTGGATATTTTCCAGCTGACTTCGCTTCCGCCCTAAACCCTAAAGCCTAAAACCCTAAACCCCAAACCCTCAAACCCAAAACCCTACAACCCTACACCCGACTTCGCTGCCAGGTCCTCTCCCTCTCCCACAACGAGCTCCGAGATCTTGAGCCCCTCCGGCCCCTGGTGGCTCTCCGCGAGGCTTTGGAAGTTTCAGAGAACAACTGCTGCTGATCTTAGAATCTTATCATGGTATCTTGTCATTATACTGCTTTTATTTATAGATTATTATACTACGATGTTAATAGTGTGCTAGATTATTTTATATTCTTATATGTTGGGTTAGTGCTTTCGGGCTCTAGAGAATAGGGCTCGGGGGCGGGGGGTCTTGGAAAAGGATCTCCTGCCTCGTAGGGAAGCAATGACTCAGGGCGGGAGACCAAACATAGAATACATAACAAATGCTAACAATAACATGTTATATCTAATTTATAACCTGCGGTCTGTAAAATCAGTATAGTACTGTATGTATAACTGTTTATATATAGAGAGAGACATAATTATATATATATATATATAAACATATATTTGCATGCAACTGTGCATCCACCAGCCTCGGAGGTAAACCTCAACTTCAACCAAGTGGAGGACGGGGATCGGAAAGTTCCATGCGCTGGGCCCGTCGAATCCCAGACCCTAAACCCCTAAGCCCTACCTGTAGCCGAAAAGACTTACCTGTTTAGGTTCCTTATTATGGTTTCTATGCAAAGGTCTTCAAAAAAGTAGGTCTTTTGGGCTACAGGTAAAGCCCCAACCCCCCCGGAACCCTAAACTCCAAACTGGCCCTAGGACCCTCCCCCCCTGAACCCTAAACTAGAAAATTGGCCCTGGAACCCCCTACCCCCTGAACCCTAAACTCTCTCAAACTGGCCCTAGACCCCAAACCTTAAGTGTAAAAGTGCCCCAGCAGGATCTGAGCCCCTTGTTCGAGTGCGAGCAGCTGACGAAGGCTCCGAGAGTTCCTTTCTTAGGCCTATGCCATGCCGGGCGCCAAACCAGAGTACTAATATGTACGAAGATCATATACAATCAAAAATTTACAATACAACATGTAATATCTAGGTATAACTTATCATATGAAATACATCACATGAAATAGAGTATCTGTCTTACATGTTTTGTTTAACAGCTGGGGTGCATGTGCAATTGCCTGCCGCATGCGTTGTGCTTTTCCCTCTATGAAGGGTCAGCTTCTACAAGCGCTGTGAGGCTTTCGTGGCGCACAATCGCCTACGAAGCATCGCAGGCGGCCTCTCTTGGATGAGTGATGTTGCTTTGGACTGCATGTAGCAAAGCTTTCCGCCACTAGCTCTGTTCACAGCTGCCAAGCCTGCGGCTGCTACTCGGCAATCAGTGCAGCTTGTGAGCACACTGGCCATACTTTAGAGTCCATTTCAGACACTTCTTCCAATAGTTCTGAAATTGTGACCCTTTTAAGAGCGACAGGCCTGGAATGCGGATGTGGCCGCTTGGAGGTTGGGACAGTGCTCTGAAGAAGACTCCCCACACTTCAGGGCCACGATAAGACAGGGATGCAGGTTCGATGCATGCCGTAGGACCCTTAAGTTTCCAGCACAGCTCATTCTCCCAACTATAGTTAGCCAGATGATGTTGGACGGCAGCCAGCTTAGTGAAGCCGCAGCTCTGTGTGAGCGGGAGTTTGATGTCTCAGATCCACCGATCTGTCTTTCTGTGATGATGACGGGAAAAGAATTGGGTTTGTCCGGATCCCGCAGACGTCCGAAGAACAGGCAATGTGAAAAAAAACATGCATTGTCGCAATCATTTTCGCTGGTGCTCCGGCTCAGCAAGGAGCTCTCACTGCTTGGAAACCAGCTCGCCACCGATACTTCGCAGGACCGGGAGGGGATTGGAAACTCTAAAATGTTTCCTCGGAGTCACCATGTGAGTATTCTACAATGGATCCCCCGAGACCCTATTCTAATCCTTAGGGCCCTATCAGCAAGATTGCGAGACTTGCATGACGTTCAATTTTTCCTTCAACTATGCTGGCCCCCACGTCTCAGCAGAGCTTTGGATCACTCTCAAGCCCGGTATGTATTTGAGTGTCTAAGAAATCGTGGCAAGAGGATGTGAGAGTGCCACATACAAGGGATCCGTTTTGTGGGCTGCTCGTGTGGCTTCTCTGCAGGCTCGTATTTTGTGGCTCAGGGCCTCATCAAAACAATCCTAACGGTCCGTGCCCGTCCGGGGATTGGGAACAATGGAACTTTAGCTTAGATGATGACCACTATGCATTACTGCAGCATCGGAGTCTAGCCGCTGCCATGGACAAGTGGCCAGCTACCTGGTCTGCCACGCAAGTTCGCAGCGCATTGCTGATTTTCTCACGCGAATGATAGCAGTGATTGCAGGCGCAACCATGTTGCTCCAGGGGCACGAAACACATTTGTTTGACCTTCATGTGCTTGGGTGCATCACCATCATGCACAAGTGAACCTGTGCACCAAGGCTATTGTTTTGCCAGTCCACGAGCATGGCCGTGCGCAGCCTAGTTTTTTCATATTTTGCAACGGAACGCACGGAATTGCGCAGGTATGGATGCCATTTGTGCCGTGGCATCCCTGTCCGTGTGCTGCTCTGACTGGCAAGGTGTCAATGGTTTCGGGGATTTCTTGCGTACCCAATGCGCTCCGTGTGGTTGATGCTTTGGTTCCTGCGCTTTGTCACCATGGTGTTATAACACCCTCTCAACAGGAGATTGATGTTGCCATGTTTGTGATTCCAGCTTTCTACATCACGATTATGGCTCTTTTTACCGTTAGCTAAGTTGATAACTTTCTATATTGGCAAGGCAAAGAAACAGAGAGGGCGACTAAGTTCAAATAAGGCTTTCCGCCTGAGTTTCCTCATGTCAGTTTTCATTGCGAAAGCCGAAGCGGAGGTGAATTCAACAAAGTTGCTGCTGACGTTTTTCTTGCGATTCAAAGAGAAGTCATATGATTTCCCCACAGTTAAATACGAGCAGGTAGTTCCTTGCAAGTCGAAGTCTTCCGCTTTGGAGCACATGTCGAAGTGGCTTTGAGAAACCCAAGTCCAGACCTCATTCTGAAGCTGGTCCGCAGAACTCGGGGTTAAATCCGACTTCCCGACTACTTTTGGAGCCTTGCCAGCCTTTGCACAAGATGTCACAGGAGGCGGTGCAACAGCGGAAGCATCATGCCCTCATGGATAGCGACGAGATGGCAAGGCATGTTCTCACGTGATGAAGGATGTTTGCAGTGAGCCATTCATAAATGCTGCAGGCTTCGTGCAATGAATGCAGCACTGGCGGCAGAGAGGCCAGCGTTTTTGGTTTGGCATCTGTCCATGCATCTGTCTGAGGCTCGTCGCAGCCGCCAGGTTGAGCCCAGCATTTGAGTTGGGTTCTCAATCTTCTGGCAGTACTACCGCCTCGCGGCTCGTTACCTGCGGCTGCTGACCTCGCGTTCGCCGCATGTGGTCCTGGCTGCCTCTCTGGCATAAATTGGTTATTTGGCCACCCACCCGACTTCTGCAAGGAAGCTCACGGACAAAGCGTTGAACACTTCTTCTCCTCACGCCTGGAGCTTCTTCTCCCGTATTTTCGCCGCTGTGCTTTCCTTAAAGAGTCACCTTTGGACTGCGCGGCGTCCGCTCGATCAAAAACGACCTTCGTCGTTATTTTAGCCTATGCCTGCTGTGAATTCAGCAAAGCCGTGTTTCACATCCTCCACAATACCCGCTAACGTGCACCATGTCGGCATCCTGCGCGCTGCTTTGCACCGCTCCTTGCATTGCGTCTGTGGCCTCTCTCAGCCCTCACCTTTCCCAGTTCACCGCCCTCTTCTTTCTTCTGCAAGCCCCTTGTTCGCAGGTGCCGTTTCTCGTTTTTTGGTCCTGGGCGCTGGTAGTGTGGTGGCTTTGGTGGTTGCGGCGGGTGGTTGGGCTGTTTTTGGTGGTGGTGGCGGTGGTGGTGGTCGTTGCGTCGTTTTATTTCCTTTTTTTGTTGGTCCTGGGCGCTAATGGTGTGGTGGCTTTGGTGGTTGCGGTGGGTGGTTGGGCTGTTTTTGGTGGTGGTGGCTGTGGTGGTGGTCGTTGCGTCGTTTTTTTCCTTCTTTTTTTGGTCCTGGGCGCTGGTGGTGTGGTGGCTTTGGTGGTTGCGGTGGTGGTGGTGGTGGCGGTGGTGCTGGTCGTTGCGTCGTTTTTTTTTTTGGTCCTGGGCGCTGGTGGTGTGGTGGCTTTGGTGGTTGTGGTGGGTGGTTGGGCTGCTTTTGGTGGTGGTGGCGGTGGTGGTGGTTGGTTCGTCGGCGGTGGTTTGCCGTACCCTCAGCAGGTTCCGGGCTGTGGGAGTTTGGGATTTGCAGCTAGAAACTCGTGCCGGTGTAGGCCTGTAGGCCTCAGGGTTTTAAGCTGCCACCCTTCAACCCTTTAAAACCTTAATTACATTGACTACATGCGAGATTTGAATTTCAAAACCCCAAACCCCTAAACCCCACGCTTAAAAGCCCTAAGCTAAGCCTTTTGCGCTTCTGTTTGCGGTTCATCAGATTCATCAGATTTGGGGATTGCTGTCGAAGCTTCCATCGCCGGAAGTTGTTGAGGCCCAACAGCCGAGAGCTCTCAAGTTCTACGAGACAATCCGTGATTTCCAAGCCCCAAAAACCCTAAGCCCTAAACCCACAACCCTGAACCCTAAACCCTAAACCCGCTTTGTTCCCCGCCTTCTTCAAGGCTGGGCATGGCAGCCGCTGCCTTTTTTCTGCATTCCCAAACTTCAGACCTTAAGCAAGAGATACTCCCATAGTTTGGACGCATCCGCTTTATGGTTAATCCAAGCCGGGTACCACAGCAAGGCATCGTGCTTTGGTGCAAATAATGCCCAATGCAGTCCTTGACCATCTTTCTTGCTCTCCGTTGCTTCTAGGGGATCTCTGAAGGCTTACTGCTGCGCTTACTAGTACTGGTACATCTTGCAGAATGCGCAGGTGTGTTGTTGCGTGAGCTTGAAGGAGATTCTTGCCACGCTGGCTGCTCTACCGCATCTCCGCGCCTTAGATGTGGCCGAGCTTCTTGGCGATTTGTTGAGGTCACAGGCCGCAGACTGATGCTGAGAGGTGGATTCTCAAAGGTGGTAGTTTGAGTTTTCCCGCGGTGTTTGGTGCAAGACCGGCTGGGAAGCGACCGAAGCATCTGGCCAATTGAAAACTGCAGCTGGCGATTACCTGAAGATCCCGAGTCTTTAAACGAAGCTCTTCAGTGTCTCGGCCATTTTTGGTTTGAAGAACTTGAAATGTGCAGCCCGGGGATTTTACACTTCGAATGTGCGGCCGCAGAATCCAAGGAACGAGGCCTTTCGTCTGCCCATGGAGCGTCTGGCACTTAGAGGCCTAACCAGACGCAGTCTGTACTCCAACGGGGCTCGCTCGCAAATTCATCTCTGCCTCAACTCTTGCACCATTGCAAATTTGTGTTGCTTGCGTGTTCGCTTGTGCATATATTTAGATCGTGTTGATCGACCAATCGTCAGCCTCAAACATCCTTGCTCTGATTGCATCTAGAATCTACACAGACCGCTGCGAGTGAATTCGCTCACGCTCGCTTCTCATCACTCTGAGTTCCCGCAAAGTCGGAAGCTCCATGGCAGTCTGCTGTAGCCCGTATAACGACGCGTAGAGTAACCCTTTCAGCACCGCACCGTAGTACTCCACATAGTAATCCGTCTCGTCGCCTCTATTGGGTCACCCAACCTCATATAACACGGCATAGTGCCCCTTGTGTAACTCTTGCAGTGCAAAACCCACAGTGTCCTACTCCCTCAACCCTAAACATCATGGTAAGCATTGGTAACCCATAAAGCCCAGGTCAGCAGCTTGTTGAGGCTTTGAGACCCAGAACATCACTGGCCATGCTCGATGGCGAGCCCCTGGACGCGGGGAGTTTGGCAGGCGTGCCGCCTTTTTCAGGGTTTCGGGCTTGTAGGCTTGGGGTTTCGGAGGTTTACGGAGCAGGGCTTGGGGCTTAAACGGTTAGAGGGCTCATCGAGCTTATGGGGTTTCCCCTAACAGTGTCTCGTGTGCGTATAGGGCCTATAGGGCTTAGAGGGTTTGGGGTTTACAGGTTGAGGTATTTTGGCAGTCTTAGGGTTTCAAGGGCTGGAGGCCGTTGTTCTTGTCCTTCCGCCCATGCCTGTTTCGACCGAAGATCTCTGCTACTGGAATCTCAGAGCCACTGTCGAAGAAACTCGACGGCGGCTTCGGGTTGAAAGGGTTTCGGAACGTGTTCCTGTAAGGGTTTCTTGAAAGGTTCCTGTTTTCCGTAAGTCTGTAAGGGTGCAGGGGCAGCCTGTTTGCTGTGGGTTTGCACGGCCTATATGATTCAGCCTGTCGGCACTCGATTGCATTCCGACGTGAACTTAGGCTTAAGCTGTGTCCAGGTTTCCCGAGTGAGGTCAAGCGAGGTTCTTTCAGAATCGAGAGAAGTGTGCGCTGATTTGCATGGCGTGTCAACCGTGCCGAAAGAAACGAATTAAATAGCAAGACATCCTAAACCCTGTGAACCTTAAACATCCCAAAGACAGCACTTCTTTTGTTAAGAAGTTCCCCAATTACCCCTTACGTCATCTAAGAAGCCCCCTTATCCCGAAACCTTGATAGTACAGTAAGCCCCTTCCGAACCCTTATAGTAGCCCTAAACGTGACCTTAAAGCAGGCAAGACGCCTCCCACTTCCGCGCCCCAAAGCGAGGGCTACAAGCCAGACTCTCGAGGCTGATTAAATGGGTGCTTCGGGGTTTAAGCTTAAGGTTACGAACGGTGACTATAAGGCTTGCTACAAAGGTTACGATAACGGCATCCCCTTTCTCAACTGTTCATTCGTTATGAATGCTAGCAACTTCATGGTGCTGTTTATGGTTGTACTGCTGTTGTTGTTGCTGCTGCTTCTCCTCGCCGTGCGCGCACACACACACACACACACGTACCAGTCATTGTCATCTCCAGCAGCAGCGATTGTGACACTGAAACGGCTGGCAGTAGGACAAAGACACCTCCATTGTTCTCGAAGTCATAGTCTCTCGCATGTTCTGTCTTGCTTTCAAGCGTTTTATTATGACATGCACATGCGAAAGGCCACGTGCACACAAACAAGATGGTGTTTGTTTGTACATCTTCCGCAAAGTTTTCCCGCTACGGGGCCTTATAAGGCATTTTCATGTGTTGCAGTAATATCGTGAACACACGCACACACACACAGCTAGACTAGAGATGCTTGACAAGAAAATCGACCTTTCTCTTTTGGCATATTATGTTGACATACAGTTGTATGAAGGAGCCCTGAGGCATAGTATTGGTAGTAACGGAGCTCAGTTAGACACCAAACTGCGCCGGACTCCGAAGCATGCGTAGACTTGTCCTCGAACGACAGGCGGGACATCACCCTCTGCCAGTCCACCTGGCACAGGCAGCGACAAAGGTTACTTCCATGCTTATGTCGCCGCAAAGGCAACCGCGGCACACGTTAGGAGGTCGCTGATGTCATGTTATGCCTTCCCACGCTCAATGGACCCTCTGCCCCGGGAACTTGAGCAGCATTGTTCAAGAGTGAGCTACTTGGAGGATCATGGGACTTCGTAGCTAGCGTTATAGATAAGATAACACATTTTTCAGTTATTATAGCCCCGGTGAGGATACTTATACCTCTACTTTTCTAAGTCCCATGATCCTCCAAGTAGAGAACCCCAGACTTGCCGTGGCCCTCCACAGCAGCATGCTGCGGGTCATTGAGCTTCAACAAGTGAGTATTAAGTTCTCTGAATTTGGATCCCTTTTAAGAGGGTACGGTACTATTTTGGAGATCTAAAAAGGGCACAAATTTAGAGAACTACTCAAGTGGCAGCTGTTGCCAGAAATCTCGATCCTGCTGCTCCGTAGCTGCAAACTTCCGTGCCCACATATGTCAACATCCCAAATCTGGAACCCCAAACCCACACACGTGCCACCGAAATGCCGAAGACCCCAAAGCTTGCTGATATTCATGAGACAACACCAGAATGCAGAAGTGATGAGCAGAGTGCGTGAAAAAAACAATCCCTAAACCCTAAACCTCAAGGCCCGAACCGCCAAAACCCGTCCCCAAGCCCCCGACCCATCATGAGCCCTCAGCCTAAACCCTAAAGCAGCAAACCCTAGACCCTAAGCCTTCAAACCCTTCAACCCCAAACCCTGAACCCTACAGCTCTAAGCCCTTAACCTCTAAAGCCTACCCCGGAACCCGCAAGCCCTAAACCCTCGAACCCTAAACCCGCCCCAACCTAAACCCCTAAACCCTACACCCCTCAACCCTAAACCCCTACACCCAAAGCCCTTCTAGGCTCCGGCTCGCCGGATGCCAGCCCTCGAGCTCGACCCGGTCGCAGCCTCGGGCTGTCACAGATCTCTCAGAGCTTCCCTGGATGTGGGGGCGTTAAGGTTCCTAGAAGGCTCCTTCTAAGGGCTCAGGGTTTAGGGTGTAGGGATTAGTTATAGTATTCTATACCCCAAGCCCTTATCTACGGGTCTACAGGTTTAGGGATTAGTTATAGTATACTCTACAGATGCTTATCAGTTGGTGAGTCTGGGACCCTTAGGCCCTCAGACATCATATCAGCAACCACCAGTGCTATACTCTACCCCAAAACCCCATAATCTTCTAATGATTAAAGCCCCTAAACCCTAAAC